ATGGCATCATGAGAAAATATGGAGCTCATGCTTATGGAAAAAAACATGGCGCAAACAATTTTTTAAAAACAAAAATAACCTTAAATTAATTTTATTTGATCAATGATCACAAGCTAAAATGCTGTTAAAATTCTGTAGCTGCTGGGCTGGCTTGCTGAGAAGCTGCCCACCCTGCGTACAGTGCCTACAGACCTCATGCTGTGCGTGCCTCACCTGTACACCTGCCTGGAGGACCGCAGCGGAGACGTGCGCAAAAAAGCTCAGGATGCACTTCCCTCTTTCATGATGCACCTGGGCTATGAGAAGATGATCAAGGCTGCTGGCAAACTGAAGGTAAGAGGGAAAAGTATGTTCAATTCTCTGAATATAATTGTAAAAAAAGCATTTCTTTAAGCATTTATACGTGTCTTTACTTTACTTTTCGATCACTAATGCATCCTGAAAAAAGTATGATTTTCATTCAATGTTATCGTAGATGGTTAATAAGACCAAAACGCATGGATCAACTTTTGACCATAGAAAAGCAGTTATGCAACATCAGTCTCCCTCTTGTCTTTCTGCAGCCGGCGTCAAAGGACCAGGTGGTTGGCATGCTGGAGAAGGCCAGGGCCGTGATGCCAGCCAAGCCTGCAGTTCCTGTCAAAGCTGCAGCTTCCAAACCCGCCTCCAGTGCCCCTGCTGCCAAACCAGCCTCAGGTTCATGCACTTTCCCTTTAACCACAGCTAACATGACCACTACTTCCTGGCTGGTTTATTGAACACATTTATATTTGCATGGTTGTTAATGTGAACATATGCACTCCATAAATTTACCCTTTTTTGCAGTTATTGATTTTATTTTTTTTGGGAGGGGGGGTAATTATGTGTCTCTTTCAGAAAAATACAAAAGGGCTTTTTTCTTTATCTATTTATTTATTGGTTTAAGGAAAATGTAAATTAAAAACTCTGATTTGAGATCTTTTAAAGATGCTGGACTCAACTTGAAAGTCTTTTTATTTTACAGCTCCAGCCAGGAACCAAAGTCCCAGTGAAGATTTTAGTGAACCAGAACCCAAACCAGACACTAAGAAAGCTAAACCAGCAGGTCCTGCGGCTAAAAAGGTGTGGCACATTTCAGTGTTTCTGCTTTGCCTGGTTTGTTAGGGAGTTGCTGCTCATGAGAGATTTAAAACCTTTTCCCAAATTGTGATCTGAAACATCAGTTCCATAATACACAAGGGACTGTTCATGGGAAGACAATGACTGTTCTTTTGCAGTTCCAAAATAAGAAGCCTCAATTGAATGTGAATTTAGATTTTGGCCGACTTTCTAAAAGTATGAAGAGTCCGAGGATGTATTGGGTTCCGCATTTGTTTTAAATGAGTGTTGCTCTCTAAAGTGTCATTTTGTGCACTAGAGAGAGAGCATGGAGCTCAAGGTGAAGGGAGAGAAAGATAATGCTAAACAAAACAGGCTCTCGAGAGGGACGCCTAACAGCGAGATGGTGTATTAGAATCTGGTATGAGGTGGCGCGTTTGTTGTGGAAGCACTGCATGTAATGTAAACTGATTCACAACATTTCTGTAATCCCATCTTCCTTATTTAGCTGTAATGGTCCAATCCAAGTTTGGTAGTCAGTGGAAATTATTACAATTATTGTAATGAGAAACTATTATAAACCTGTTGTAGTGTTGTCACGGTACCAAAATTTCAGTATTCGGTACCAATACCAGTGAAAATCCACTGTTCTCGGTACCAATTTCGGTACCAAAGCAAAACACAAAAACATGCTAATTGAACAACATTTTTTATTAATAACGTTATACAAAAATTAAATACAAAACCAATGCCATTCTTTATACTTATTTAAAATTGTTTCAAGTTTTTCCACAAGTAATTAAAGTATGAAAAAAGTCTGTTTTAGTGTTTGCTGGTGTGTTTCAGGATCTTCCTCAGTCTGCAGCTGTAAAAGGAAAATATAATATACTTAAGTAAAGCAATGGGCTGAGTCTGACCAAATGCAACATAAGATCATTGACACCAGCTAAAATATCACTTTACAGTAAATAACAAACCTCAGCTTTTACATATATTACATATATTAAGTGTATATCAAATAGATGGAAACTGTGGTATTAAAAACACTTTACAATAAGATTTTATTTGTTAGATAACATGACCTAACAATAAACAATAGTTATATGGCAATTATTCTTATGGTTAATTTCAAAGTTCAGTCTGTTAAAATTATTTAATGCACAATGAACAAACATGAGTGATCAAGTGTTTGTATTAAATGACATTCACAAACATTAATGAATGTTGTAAAAATATATTGTTCACTCACTGCAAGATGTTACTAGACCTAACATTGTACAGTAAAATCTATACAGGAGATAAAATTTGACTGTACTTTTATTTAATCCAAACTGTTCATATTTAATTTTAAAGGGCTTTTAAAACCTGCTAGAGATATATGCTAACGGTGATGTTTATTTCAATTCAAATTAAAATATGGAATAATATTCATAACAGAAGCTCTAAATATTAAAAATGTAATTGAAACTTACCTGCTTGAACTTGATCGGGGTGTTGTGTTAGTTTGATGCGTTTCCTCCTCGCCACTGCTTTTATGAAGTGGTTGCCAGGTTTTCACAAAACCCACCCCATCGCGTTTCGAGGGGTCCCTGTTAAAAATCGCATTCAGAGGATAAAATACGCATGTTTTGGCGGGGTTTCCTCTGGTAAAATTCGCATTCCAGGGGCTAAATATCACGTTAATGGGGTCGTTTTTCAACCCGCGGACGTGAAAAACAACCCGCGGCAACGGTGTTAAAGCAGCCCAATTCCGCGGGAAAACTGCGGACTTGGCAACACTGGAATAGGATAGCTTTCGGATAGCGCATCAAGAACCGGGTTGACCGGGTACTCGGTACCACCGGTACTTTAAAAAAAAACCTGGTACCGTAATGTTTTCATTTTTTTAGTATCGACTTGGTGCCGAAATACCGGGTCTTTTGACAACACTAGCCTGTTGCCAACAAATGAGAAGTTTTAAGGGCTTCCTGCTGTTTTTCGCTGAAATAATAGCCTGATTGGCTGAATGAAATGGATATTTATAAATGTATATAATTTATATAATTTCAAACAGCATTTTTATTAAGGCTTTGCTCATAATTAAGTTGCATGTTAAAATTTATTGTAAGGGTTACAATCCCACAAGTAAATGAATATTCCTGAGCTAAGTAGCACGATTCGTAATTTTAAACCCATTTGAAAACTGACTGAGACATTACCATCAAAATAACATGTCGACATGAAGTAACAGAACTTGAGAATATGATTCAGTGTAACAATTGTTTTCCTGACCCTTCAGGGTGTTGTGGGTAAGAAACCTCCAGTTAAGGCTGGTGCAAAGGATGAGGAGGACAAATCTGGTCCCATCTTCATCCATGTTCCCAACGGCAAAGAGCAGAGGATCAAGGAAGAGAAGACATTAAAGGTGAGCAGTTTTCGAATCGTCCTCATGAACATTTGTCAGCGCTATTGACGCCTAGTTCACACGTACATGGGTATTTTTATAAACTGAGTTTTTCCTCCTCCGTTTAAAAAATATATGTATCTCGTCCAGATGAAAATGCAAAAACATCCCATGAAGTGCTGTAAAGAGCATGCCAAACCAACAGCTGGCAATATAACCCTAACCGTAAAGCCATGTTGGCCAATTACAGACTCCCCTCATGTAAACAAAGGAGTTTTTAAAAAGGTTCGGTTTCAGTGACCTGATACTGCGTTTGCGTGTGGATAAATGGCCAAATCACATAGAAAATGCTGCGGTTTTGAAAATACCCACGTTTGTGTGGACAGGGCCTGAGTAGCAACTTTAGGCTTTTTAGCATGTTTGGTTACCATTTCTCAACTCTTCTCCAGATTCTCAAGTGGAACTTCACGACTCCTCGTGACGAGTACGTGGAGCAGCTGAAGGCTCAAATGTCGACATGTCTGGCAAAGTGGCTCCAAGACGAACTTTTCCACTTTGACTTTCAACGCCACGTAAAAGCTATTGGAGCCATGATTGAGGTTAGTTGTGTCGCAATTGGTGAGTCAAATCATATCAATCTATACAAGACTAATAACTTGCTTATTTTTCAGCACATGGAGCCAGAGTGCGAGGCTGTGATTAGCTGTCTAGACCTGATATTGAAGTGGTTTACTTTGCGGTTCTTTGACACAAACACCAGTGTGCTGATGAAAGCCCTGGAGTTCCTCAAGCTGCTCTTCACCATGCTGAGCAGGAAGAACTACCAGCTCAATGACTATGAGGCCTCATCTTTCATCCCCTACCTGATCCTCAAGGTGAGTCTTTATTCATCCAAACATTAATTTTGGATAGCATGCATCTATTTTGTTGAAATAAACAACAGCCTAACATGGTGTCTTGTCCTTCAGGTTGGAGAGTCGAAAGATGTGGTGCGTAAAGATGTCAGAGCTATTCTGACAATGTTGTGTAAAGTCTACGCGGCCAGTAAAGTCTTCCCCTTCCTTATGGAGGGGACCAAATCAAAGAACTCCAAGCAGAGATCTGGTAAATGCACATGGATTTGGTTTCTCAAACACAAAAAGGGTCATTTTTACAGTAGAAAGTGTCTTTATCGTGACAGTTTCTGTCTTATTCGTTCTTCAGAATGTCTTGATGAGCTCGGCTGCCTGATTGAGAACTTCGGTATGAATGTGTGCCAGCCGACTCCAGCCAAAGCTCTTAAAGAAATCGCCGTTCACATTGGAGACCGTGACACTACGGTCCGCAACGCTGCGCTCAATACAGTCGTGGCCGCCTACAATGCTTGTGGAGACCAAGTCTTCAAACTCATTGGCAAAGTAAGACGCTAATTACCCTCAAATGTGAACCTTTCACTTTTATTACCATCTTTGGATGCGATGTGTCACATCCAAACTCAAATTTGAACATTTCATCATTGTCAAGCTGTCCGAGAAAGAAATGAGCATGCTGGAAGAGAGAATCAAACGTTCGGCCAAGAAGACGCCTGCAGCCTCAGCCAAACAGGAGAGACCACAGAGAGAACATCCTGCAAATCCCAATGCAACCTTCCTGCGCAAGCCTGCTCAAGAGGAAGTGCCCAACAAGCTCAAGTATGTACTACTTATTGTCAAGTAACACGCTCTTAAAAGAGTCCTGGCCCATGTGTAATGCTTTCTATACACACACAGTCTCATTCTGTCTCGTTCTGTCCTCTTGTGTCATTGCATGTTGTTTCTTAATCCTGAGCCTTTCTCTTCTCCTCTTACTATTCCTTTCTTTTCTTCGCTGCCCTCCATGGACAGAATAATGTATCGCACTTACAGGATGTAAGTACTGCCGTACAGCTGTAGCCACTGTTCACATGGCACCTGACATCCTGGAGGTCTAGAGATCACAAAAAAACTGGATGAAATATTTGAGAGATTAGATCATATGGATGACTGATATAGCCAAATATTTTTCAGCCTCATATTTGATATCCCTATGCATTCGCTCTGTGGTTTTTATGTAAGGAGTATATAACAGTACAAATGTATTTTGAAAGTAAATCATGTTTCCACACTTTCATAAAATGAACACAAAGGAGATATTTAATTTATGCACCAATATGCTTATGAAATATGTATACACACTACCATTTAAAAGTTTGGGGTACGTGAGGTTAGGGTTGTAACGATCTACCGGTATGACGGTTTATCACGGTTTGAACGTGCACGGTTATCATACTGTAAATATTTGCATATCTACGGTTTAAAAAATATATAGAAAAAAAATCTCACCCGTGCATATGCAACTTATTTGCGCTCGGCTGCTTCACTCGGCATTCACTTGGCTGCGTGCACGCACTCACGCGGAGAAAATGACAGAGACCGAGATAATATCTAATCTCCATCCCCGCCGAAAAAAAAAGTTAAAATCTGCAGTATGGGAATACTTCGGATATTTAAAAAAAAACGAACACTGGTTTGTCCTCGAGGATGGATCCAATTTGCAAAAGTAGGCAAAACATCCAACATCTTCGCTCATATTCGCGGACACCATCCCTCCGTGCAGATGAAGGTGTGTCGCATTAATAACAAGTTATAAGTTAAGGCCGTATGATTTCAGTGAAGCAGCGGGAATCCCGCTGCGTGCACGCACTCACGCGGAGAAAATGACAGAGACCGAGATAATATCTAATCTCCATCCCCGCCGAAAAAAAAAGTTAAAATCTGCAGTATGGGAATACTTCGGATATTTAAAAAAAAACGAACACTGGTTTGTCCTCGAGGATGGATCCAATTTGCAAAAGTAGGCAAAACATCCAACATCTTCGCTCATATTCGCGGACACCATCCCTCCGTGCAGATGAAGGTGTGTCGCATTAATAACAAGTTATAAGTTAAGGCCGTATGATTTCAGTGAAGCAGCGGGAATCCCGGTGCAGTCGTGAACATGGAATTTACAGTATAACGAGGATGTCACTAATATTGTCTGAATATTTAAGTGCAAAGAGACCGCTATATAAATAATCTGCTTGTTGCTGCATGTCTCTGAGTGGCGCTGCTTTATCTACTGCTACTGAAGTACACATACATAAATGGTGTTTTCGGCATCTAAGTTACATAAACATGAACATCAGCAGAGCTGCTCTGAGAGAAAACTTAAACATTTCCTAGTTTTATTTGAGAAAAAACATTGCCAAATACACTGAAACTCAAAGGTCCGCTACAACCAGTCAAAATAAACGTTCGATTTAATTTGAAATCGACAGAAATATATTAGCATTGTACAATGTACTTCAACGTTATAATAACAATAATAATAAAATAATTTATTTAAACATTGTTTTCAAGGAATATCATGTTTGTCCATGTTTTAACTTAAAATAAAAGGAGTTTTCATTAAATTTTCATTTGATAACATTTTAAAACATTAATTAAAATGTTAAAGTGTGATATAGATATACATAAGGTGTACAGCTTTATTTTTTTATTGTTTTGTAAATTTATTTATTTTTTCAGAAGGGAGACTTCAATTAACTTTCATTAAAATGGTTTCAAGTTTGTTGTAATAAAGGATTTGTTCACTCAAATAACTTGTTCTTGTTCTTTTAAGAGTCATTGTTACTGATAAGAATGATTGTTTAATATATATCGTGATAATGGTGAAACCGTGATATTTTCTGAGACTGTTATCATACCGTGAAAATCTCATACCGTTACAACCCTACGTGAGTTTTTTTTTTTTTTTTTTTTTTTTCCCACATGTATTTTTTTTTAATCAAAAATACAGTAAAAACAGTAATATTTTGAAATACTATTACAATTTAAAATGTAATTTATTCCTGTGGTGGAACTGAGATATATATATTGAGATTTGAGAAGTGGTCTGCATCTCCCATCAAAGCCACCCGCATAAAGGCTTATTGCTCCAATGCACGACTCAGACAAACTACGTGTGCGTGTGACCGTAATAAAATTGAGAATTATTCCTTCATGATTAAATCTCTCAATGAGTAAAACTGGCCGTGTCTATTATTATAGATTTACACAACATCTTAACTATTTTCAAAATCATTTAAATTATTTTTATAAAATATTCTTCCTGGTTTAACAAGGTACTCTTGTAAGAAAATAGTGGTTGGGACAGAGTTTCAGTATCACCTTCACTTAAAATGATACAATCTAATCCTGTTAACGTGAAGTAAGCCTGCTACTGAGCAGGTTTGAGCTCACGGACCTGTTGCTATAACGGCAACTCCAGGATGAGAAGAACCTAACAATCCTGGATCATGTCAAGTGATAAATCGTCAACCATAAAATCCAGCTAACTGAGTAATCCACGTACAAAGAACAGACCCCAGGAGTGTGTGTGTATGTACTTGTGTTTTTGATGAACTATGCAATTTAGCAGTCCTTTGAATGAGGGCACAAATTAATGATTGAATCAGTTTTAGATAATTTCATTTGAAACCGTGAACTTCACAAAAGAATCAAATGACCTACTTTTTTCTTTTAGGGAGTATAGCTTTTATTTTAATTTGTTGACTTTTCTACGTTATATGCTCCCTTGCTTGTGCTTTTGTCTCAAGTTTACTAACCAGTGTCAAGGGAATAGTTACATTTAAATTGGTGACGTTCATTGTTGCAAAATTTATATTGCAAGGAAAATCAAAAGTGGATATACACTTTAATACTTGCTTTCCTTTTTGCTGGTACTGAATCAGAATTTTGGGGGCTCTTATGGTGCTTTTCCACTGCAGTTCAGTACCGCTTTAGAGTGGGCGGGATTATTCACATGTCATTATAGTTGCGCCGCCTCTACTACAGCGACTCCTTAAAAAAAATTCATTCCACGTAGCCCTATCAAGCTCTCGCTGGATCCGCTCCTCTGCTATCAACGAGAAGAACGTCTGTACTTCTGCAACAGACAACAAAACTTTTTGGTTGTTAAAAAAAGGTGCGCTCGTTCAAAACAGTTGCGTTCGATCCTTCGCTGGCTGTGCTGATTTAAATCTAGCAGTTCTTTTGTGTTTGTGTCGCAAGTTCAGTGACGCAGGTAGTGACGATTCTCTCCGGCCAATCCGTGATCAGCAGAGTTTACACGTCACGTTTTGGTAACAGTACGGTTCCCTTGGAACCCCAACCGAAGTGGTACTAAAAAAAGTACTAGGTACTGTACCCAGTGGAAAACCCCCCAAAAGTGAACCGTACCATGCAGTGGAAAAGCGTCATTATTCATGTTGTGGGGATTATATAGCATAAAAATGCAGCAGAAGTGACCGTTTCCTCCATTTTCAACAGTCAAGCTCGGGCACAGAATGCTCACTTGGAGCAGTCAGCTCCGTCCATCCCAAAAGAGTTTCAGCTGGATCTGGATGTGTTCGAGAACAACCACACATGTGCCAGAGAAATCCCTGACCTGGTGCAGCATAAACTGGATGAAGTTCTGGAGCCGGTCATGATTCCGGAGCGCAAGTAAGAGAGTAGCACAATAGAAGTCTTGTTTTATGTCTGTTAAATGTATTACATGACAAAATATTTTGTCTTCTGAAATGCTAAAGTGTCACTCTTGTTAAATGATTGATTAAAATGTTGTGTTTTCAGGATTCGTTCAGTCTCTCCTCATTTTGATGACATTCACAACAGCACTGCCTCCACCATCAACTTCGTCATCTCCCAGGTGGCCAGTGGAGACATTAACACCAGTATCCAGGCCTTGGCACAGGTGGGCATCCCACGTCCACTGTTTGGATTCTTACATCTTCATGTTGAGCAAAAAATAATTTCTTAAAGACGTGAATACATCAGTGAGAAATTTCCTTGTGATTTTCTGCAGATCGATGAGGTCTTGAGGCAGGCGGACAAAGCGGAAGCCATGTCTGGACACATCGACCAGTTCCTCATCGCCACCTTCATGCAGCTGCGGCTCATTTACAACACGCACATGGCCGACGATCGGCTCGACAAGAAGGACATCTTCAAACTCTACAGCTGTATCATAGGAAACATGCTTTCTGTGAGTGCTGCTTTACTTTTTTTGTTAGGGAAGTGAGCTTTTGCTTCAACATAGAGGATTGCAGAAAGTTTAGGCCTAATTTCCGAACACATCTAGTATTGTATTGCCAGAAACAAAATGGCTTTTATTTGCAGAAAATTGTTTACACATTAAAATTCAGGGAGAGTGCAGAGGAAACAAAAGTCATCGTTCTTTGGCGTGCTGCTGAGTCACTGTGTGTCCGTTTCCAGCTGTTCTCGATGGAGAGTCTGGCGCGGGAGGCCTCCATGGGCGTCCTGAAGGACCTGATGCACGGTCTCATCACGCTGATGTTGGATTCTAGAGTGGAGGACATCGAGGATGGACAGCAGCTCATTCGCTCCGTCAACCTGCTCGTGGTTCGAGTTCTAGAGAAATCCGACCAGACCAACATCCTAAGGTTAGCAGTGCGGCTCCGCTGGGCTACAAGTCCTCTACAGGGAACTTTGTTTGTGTACTGTTCTGTATACATTTGGCCGACACTGCAGTCTGACTAATCAATGCTTGTAGGTTAAAGGTCATTGTTCTCTTTCCAGTGCTTTGCTGGTGCTGCTGCAGGACAGTCTTATCAGCACCGCCGGCTCCCCCATGTTCTCTGAACTTGTCATGAAGGTACGACTGGTGCACTGTGCCCGTATATGCATGTTGACATGTAAACTGTCATATTGTAAGCAGAACTCTTGGCTCTTGTTCTGTTTTGTTTTAATAAGCCTGAAGGACATTAGTTACTTTCCACAACCCAGTGAAATCGTGATGGATAAAATTATCTACTTGGCTGCTAATTTTTTTTAAATTGTATTACACACCCTGAAGTCATGTCAATTAAGTGGGAAATGTTTTGGTGTAACTTTTGTTTGTTTTTGTTTTTTATTTGAATCAATAAAAATTTAATACATTTAATTCCACCCACACATCAGTAAAGCTCATTTCAGAGGAAGAGAAAATAATTTAACATGAACACATTTTTACTGAGAACAGCATACACAGACGAATCAATGTGTTCACATCACGTCAGTTATGTTAGTTGTGCTTTTTCTGACTAGTAAACACCTTTAACATTGTTAACTCGTGATTGCAACTTGAAAACTGAACTTTAGTAACGCTTCCTGTAGACTATTGTGATGTAAAAAACAATAGCAGTTAAAGGTAGATGGTGACCTCAACATTCATTTCGTATGCCATTTTATTAGCCGATTGTCTTTTTATGGCAGCACTAATAATTTCCAAGTCAGTGTTGTAAGCTCAAACTATTATATTTCCAATAATTGAAATAAAATATAAATATAGAAAAACTTTTAACTTTAATTAGTTGCCATCCTTTCTATTTTTGTTGAAGCTGAAGAACTAAAATGTAAACTAAAAAGAAAACTGAAAATATAGAAGCCAATTAAAAATAAAAACTAATAGTATATACAGAACACTGATGTACTAGAGCTAAAAATCTTATTCCAACATAGATGCAGTATAAATAAGGCATTTTTATTGACGTATGACCTTTTAAATGACACCTATCTCTGTCCCATGCAGTGTCTATGGAGAATGATCCGTTTCCTGCCGCAGACCATCAACAGTATTAATCTGGACCGCATCCTGCTGGATGTCCACAACTTCATGAAGGTTTTCCCTAAAGAGAAGCTCAAACAGCTGAAGAGTGACGTTCCCCATCGGACGCTGAAGACACTGCTGCACACGCTCTGCAGGCTCACTGGCGCCAAGGTACACATTTGAGACCTTTATAGAGCTTGAAAGTTCTTTTATGAAACTTTATCTTTATGAAAGTAATCTGTAAATGGCTCTCATAGATATTAGATCACATGTCCATGATTGAGAACCGCAACGAGTCGGAACTGGAGGCTCACCTAAGGCGGGTGGTCAAGCATTCGGCAAACCTCTCTGGACTCAAGTCCGACAAGTGCTCAGAGAAGGGCGCCCTCAGATCGGTATGTTCTGCTGGGTCTCAACTGAAACCTTCATCTTAATGATGCATGGAGAAAATTGTAGTGGTTGATCTGGTTTCTTCAACTGAATTTCAATTTGGATAGGATGACAAAGTGATCATGGCCAAAGTGAGCGACATCCTGTCTGAGATCTTCAAAAAGATTGGCTCCAAAGAGAACACTAAAGAGGTAACACTACAGCTTGTTAAAGACTTTTCGAATTTTGCGAAATAACCAGAATTATTTGCAGTTCTCAGTTAAGTGCTTCCATCAATCAGAGTATGTTGTATCTCAGGGTCTGACGGAGCTGTATGAATACAAGCAGAAGTACTCTGACGCAGACCTCGAGCCCTTCTTGAGGAACACGTCCCAGTTCTTCCAGAGTTACGTGGAGCGAGGACTCCGCATGATTGAGTCAGAGCGTGAAGGAAAAGGCCGAATCCAGACCTCCACAGGTGAGTTGCACCGACTTTTATGTAAGGCATACAGAGTTCTGGCATGAAACTCTAGATGGTGCAGTCCGATAGG